TAGGAGAGACCGCATAGACTGGAGACACCTGACTGGAGAGACCGGTGCGCAGAGACCAGCGCGGACCGAAGAGAGACCGCATAGACCAGACTTGAGAGACCAGCGCGGACCCGTATGGATCCAGGAGCATGCAGCATGGACCCGTATGGAGAGAGACCAGTGCAGACCCGTATAGATCCATGGGAGAGACCAGCGCAGACCCGTATAGATCCATGGGAGAGACCAGTGCAGACCCGTATAGATCCATAGGAGAGACCAGCGCAGAGACTCAGCGCGGACCCAGTAACCTCCTGCAGCAGCAGTATATATGCCGTTGTTCTGTGCCCGTGGATAAAGAAATGCCCCCTATAAATAGAAAGGGGTCACTAATACACAGCAAGATTTCCAATGTATTTGATAAAGCGTTGGCACATTTCATTTCAAAATGAATTAAAAAGTAGTGAAAAAGGCGGTATATAAATAAAGATTACTAATAAAGATTACTACAAATAAATAAATACATACATCGATATGACGGACATATCACTGGAATGTTGTATTTTTATTCAACTTCACCAAAGAGGACAACCCCGGCGTGTGAACATGTCGGCACTGAATGCGTACGAGTGCTCCTGAGGACTCGTAGGATTTGTACTTGCCCAAGAGAAATTCTGGTTACGAGAAATATTCGTGAATGCCACTTTCTTCGTAAAAACCGCGTAAGTAGGATTTACGTACAAATCTGTTCCTAAGAACCGTTCGTGAATGAGGCCCATTGTTTTTTTTTTACTCATACAGGCTGAAGATACTTGGGAGAATATTACTTGTTCGTAATATTCTTAGAAATCTTAACATGATGTTTTTGCTTGAAACCAGTACATTTCCTCTAGTAGATATTTTTTTCTTTCTTTTTTTTGAGCCACTTTTGCAGTGAATGTATTGGTATTTGCATTTTATTTGCCCCATAATGCTGTGTTCAAACGGTTTTATTTCCTGATCTGCAGTTGGCAAGTCTTTTTTGTAAAGTCTTCCGAAATGACTGCTGTTAGGGCTATACAAAAATATACATTGAATTGAACTAATTTTATAAAGATAAACACTACTTGAACTGTATCTATTGCAGTATCATTGTTGACCACTAGATTCTGCTAAAGACAAAATGTAACCCGTCACTGTAGTTGTCACCCAGACACCTGTGACACCTACAGTATCATAACTTTACATATTAAAATGTATCTAATATTCCCCTTTCACAGCCTTATTACCAATGAGCAGGGAATTTATTTCACATTTGTGGCAAAATGTCAAAATTCAGTATATACCAATATCATGCAAAACTGGAGGAAGGTGGATTTATGGATTTCCTGACATAGTACTAAAAGAAAATATAAATTACTCAAACATATGCTGTACGTGTACGAGGATTGCATGAGGATGATACTACGGTTAGCCACAAGTTAGCAACATGAGGCTCTATAAAGGCTCAAAGTGACCCTGTGTCTCCCTGTGTGTTTTTAGTCCCTGTGTGTATTTAGTCCCTGTGCTCCTGTCCTTTTGTTGTTGGCCCATTGTTGTTTTTCCCCATGTCTTGTTCCCAGTTTCAGTTTGTACTTCTTTGTGGCATTTATTAAATCATAATATCGTTGCACTTGGGTCCTTCCTTCTTTATCCGTGACAATTGATGCTGTGTAGATAAACTTGTCTTTGTCCTTTGCTGATGTGTCTTAATGAGAACAGATCCAGTCTTGACTTGCCGTAGTGGTCTGCTCTCCGCCCCCGGCCCCTGAGCGCAATCACCGCCCAATAATCAGACCCAGGGCGGCCCACACTCCACTACCAACCCCAAGGACACTGCACCAGACACTCACAGGAGCAGCTGCAGCTCTAAGGGTGTGTGTGAGGACTATAGACACACACACACACACACACACACACACACACACACACACACACACACATACACACACAGAGAGAGAGGTTACCTAGTTAGAGATATCTTAGTAAAGTATGTTGATATACAAACTTGCACGTTTGACTTGAACAATTGCAAAAATGTCATGCACAATCTGTTAGGAAATCGGCAGAAATCAAATTAATTGTTGATGCAATCTGTGTTTCCTTTTTTTTTGCTGCGTAAATCTGAATTGCTGTGTCCTCATGTTTAGTCTTGACTCTGGGCATCAACAGAAGGCCAGTCCCTGTGCTCCTCAGAGTCCCAGCAGGAGGCCAGTCCCTGTGCTCCTCAGTGTCCCAGCAGGAGGCCAGTCCCTGTGCTCCTCAGAGTCTCAGCAGGAGGCCAGTCCCTGTGCTCCTCAGTGTCCCAGCAGGAGGCCAGTCCCTGTGCTCCTCAGTGTCCCAGCAGGAGGCCAGTCCCTGTGCTCCTCAGTGTCCCAGCAAGAGGCCAGTCCCTGTGCTCCTCAGAGTCCCAGCAGGAGGCCAGTCCCTGTGCTCCTCAGAGTCCCAGCAAGAGGCCAGTCCCTGTGCTCCTCAGTGTCCCAGCAAGAGGCCAGTCCCTGTGCTCCTCAGTGTCCCAGCAGGAGGCCAGTCCCTGTGCTCCTCAGTGTCCCAGCAAGAGGCCAGTCCCTGTGCTCCACAGAGTCCTAGTTGGTTTATATGGCACAAACATGTCTGTGACGTGGTGCGATACCATGGAGAGACAGTCGATCTCAACCACTCTATTGCCTTGTTCTCATTTTGCTTTCGTGTTTGCTTCAGTACTGCAGCTGGTTCATATTTCTCCACTTTTTCAGTCACAATTCGGCTCAAAAAGACTCAGACAGTCAGACTTGTACTAATCGAGGACACAAAAAGCAAAAGTTGTCTTTACTTCTGTCTTTTGTCTTTGGACTTGTGAATGATATCGCCTGTGTGTGTCTGTGCTCTTGGAGACGGGGGATAAGTATGGGGGGGGTGCAACCTCACGGGACGTCCCAGAACCATCTGCCTGTAAGGTAACACCGGCTGCAGGGGTGCGGGGTCCAGCCGGGGGCACCCCTGGAGACCGAGCGAGTGAGAGCAGACACCGGTGAGAGGCGATACACACTGCAGCCAACACTGAGGCTGGATTACAATGAGGCAGGAAGCAGAGTCCATGAGGAATACTGGGACTGTTTTGTTGTTATCATATATTTACACAAACCAAGCTTAACTACAACAGCTTTCAAAAAAAACAAAAACAAAAAAAGGTTTTATTCCCGCTGAAAGAGCACAGGAGATTTACCTTGCAGTAGATCAATAGCCCTAAACATGAAGCCAGAGCTAGATAGTATATGAAAGAGAGTAAGAAATTGGGTGTTAGAATAGCCCAGTCAAACACCAAAGATGTTTTTTCATATATTTGTATTGACCTTTATTTAACCAGGAAGGTGCCACTGAGATTCTGTCTATCTATCTTTCATATCATTTGATTACATGAGTTTTATTGCCAATTACTGCCATAAAACACCATAGATCATTATGTCTTCTTTATGTTTAAGGCTTAGAAGGTTCCACTCATGTGACAAAAAGTGTAAACAAGCTGCTACTGCAATCTCATATGGGTCTGAAAAATGCTTGTACAAACCTGAAATATTTCTCCAAACTATGATGTAAACTTTTTTAAACATTGAGCCTCATTGATGCAACTTGGCTTTTACCACGAACTGGAATTTGCCTGAAGTATTTGCATCAGCGTCAGTGAGCTCCGATTCATGATGTTATTCTGTTTTTGCTTTTAGCCTGGATGCTTCGTGGTGTAATGCAAGTGCTAACCTTGCCTAGAGAAACTGATGCTTTTGTGTTGCTTCCCGTGTCTTCCCTGTTTTACCAATTATTTGTGTTTTTATTACGGCTTGTTCTGAGACAGCATCTTAGTGTTTGTTGTCCCCGTGGAACATTTTGTGCTTGTGTAATGTGGAATATGCATATATAACCACTGAAAACAGGCTTCTATGTGTAGCAGCTACAAGGAGAACATACTGTATAGTACCATAGTTTGGGTGGTTTAAGACCCAAAGAATATATGGATATATGTGTCTGTAAACTGTAATACACTCTAGAGCAAGATATTTAAAAGTCCTTACAGTGTCACATGCTGCTAACATGTACAGTTGTATCACATGCTGCTAATGTGTACAGTTGTATCACATGCTGCTAACATGTACAGTTGTATCACATGCTGCTAACATTTACACTAGTGCCACATGATGCTAACGTGTACAGTAGTATCACAAGATGCTAACATATACAGTAGTATCACATGCTGCTAACATGTACAGTTGTATCACATGCTGCTAACATGTACAGTTGTATCACATGCTGTTAACATTTACACTAGTGCCACATGATGCTAACGTGTACAGTAGTATCACATGATGCTAACATGTACAGTTGTATCACATGCTGCTAACATGTACAGTAGTATCACATGCTGCTAACATGTACAGTAGTAGCACATGCTGCTAACATGTACAGTTGTATCACATGCTGCTAATGTGTACAGTAGTATCACATGATGCTAACATTTACAGTAGTCACATGATGCTAGTATCACGTGATGCTAACATGTCCAGTAGTGTCACATGCTTCTAACAAGGCATGAGCTCTGGTGTGTACTATCTTCTCTGTCAGGTGCACACTGGGTAGTTTTGCAACGTTTTTTCCAATGTGGTTTTACTGCAAATGACAAATACAATCTTGAATCTTGAGTGTACAGTAGTTGAGTTAAAACACTTCGTTACTTTCCTCCTTTGGTAGCACAGAACACAGTAGATTCTCCTCACTCTCTCTCCCCCTATCTTCTCCCGTTGTCGCTCGACCACCTCTCCTCGCGCTCTGACGCTCAGGTCCACGCGCGGCGCCCCATTGGCCCTTTGGCCCGCGAGCTGCACCGTGCTCTACCCCCGAGGGCAGCCCTGCTCTCTCCTCCCTTGTGCACTTCCCTGTGTGTGTGTTTACGTGTGTGTGTGTGTTGTGTGTGTGTTGTGTGTGTGTACTCGCTCATAGACAGCGAGGCTCGGATGTAGTGAGGCAGTGGGGCAGTTATGGAGGACTGCTGCTCCACGGACAGAGAGCGGGTGGAAGCGTGGCTGGACGACCACTTGGACTTCACCCACTCCTACTTCACCCGCAAAGCCTCAAGGTAACGACACAGGTCCAGGGATTTTTTTTGTTTTTAATTCTCTTAATTTTCCTTATTTTTCTTTCATTTCCTAATTTTTTTCTTTCCATTCGCGCGATCACTTTACTTTAGCCACCGTGACCAGCTGGCTCTGTTTACCCGGGACAGTCCCAGCTCTGAGCCCGGGGTCCCATGTCCCCCCAAACTATTCATGTATCTAAGGTTTTAACCCATTTGCAACACATTGAGAGTAGAGAGAGATCTGAAATAGTGAAGAAACCATCTCGAGTTGTTTAATATAGTGACTTTTTAATTTTATTTGTGCATGTGAAATCATTACTGTATATGAATTTAACTACTAAAATGGGGGGATGTCACTCTATACGCCCGTCTTATAGATTATTCCCACGATTCATGCACTTTTATTTATATTTCTAGACATTTTTCGACAGATGTCATTCCTCTTCCCTATATGTACCAATAGCTCCTGCATGTTTGTTATTAGTGCGTCTGTGTTTGGACTGTTTGATTCTCTGATCTGTTGTTGGAGAATCGACAACTTTGCAAAATCCTCCAAGACGACTGCTGTTGTGATTTAGAGCTATACAAAAATGCATTGAATTGAATAACCCTCGGATATTTAATATTAAATTAGCTGCAGTTTAGTCAGCTTTCATAGACAACAATACTACTTTTTTCTTCTCATATTTAGCTCATCTCCATAATAACTTTTAAAAATGTATAATCTATATTTTGATTTTATAGATGTGTTTCTCCTGCTGGGTTTTTGATTTTTCATTGGTGATACAAGAGGGTCTAAGGACGGGTCTTTAAGGAACGATCCGGGACATTTATACACATATGGACCATGGTTAACCTGTTATATATATGGACTTCTATGAGTTTTGTTTTTGTATTTCCTTGAGTTTCATTTGTTTAATTTAGATACGACTGCTGTTGTGATTATAGGTTATACAAAAATAACATTCAATTCAATTGCCACCTCCACTTGACAGAAATCTTTCATAAAATATGGATTGGGCTAAATGTAGTAGACTGCATTGTAGACTTAATTTTTTTTAAATTTTCTTTCATTTTTCTCCCCTTGCTTATTCTTTATAGTGTTGATAACCACGCGTAGGCAAAGTCATGCACACCTTTAGAGTTTACCACTATAGCTTTCCACGCAATCAGTCCCAGCCGGTTTAAACCATTTAATCATTAACTTTTACGGCTTCCACTGATTCTATTTATTTCTCAATATGAACTGTCGAATGGCTCCTCAGAAATAATTACACCAGGAAACCAACTCGTAAATCAGCTAACGTACTTTTCCTGCACGGTTCATTTATTTCCAAGGCAAACATACAGTGGGGTTTGTCCCATTGGTTCGGTGCGCACTTCATCACGGCACTCCAGGTCCTGTTTGTTTTAGTGACAAGCCCTTCACACAGTGCACCGCCATGGCAACTCTAGCACCGGCTTTTCATACTCCATCAGACACGACTGGAGCGTGCCAATGTCCCCTACACTCTGCTGGGAACTCACTGAATATGTTTCTGAGTATGGACAGAATACTAGCTTTGAGGACGACTGGGAATTTAGTTGTAGTTTAATTTCTTCGGTCATTCAACTACATTTATGGGCTTCCATTAACATTTATGGACCGCCATGGAATTGAATTGACAGTAATGTTTTATTTAATGTCTCTCTGGTCTCTCTCTTGTCTTGCTCTCTGTGGTCTTTCTCTCTGGTCTCTCTCCAGTCTCTTTGGTCTCTCTGTGGTCTCGCGCTCTGGTCTTTCACTGGTCTCTATCTGGCCTCACACTCTGGTCTCTCTCTGAGTTTATTTGACAGCTATGTTTTATTTAAAGTTTCTCTGGTGTCTCTCTGTCTCTGTCTCTGGTCTTGCTCTCTGTTCTCTCTCTGGTCTCCCTCTCTGGTCCCTCTCCGGTCTCTCTCTGGTCTCTCTCTGGTCTCTCTCTGGTCCCTGTCTCTGGTCTCACTCTGGTCCCTCTCTGGTCTCCCTCTGGTCTCTCTCCAGTCTCTCTGGTCTCTCTCTGGCCTGCTCTCTGGTCTCTCTCTCTAGTCTCTCTGTTCTCTGGTCTCTCTCTGGTCTCTCTCTCTGGTCTCTCTCTCTGGTCCCTCTCTCTGTTCTCTCTCTCTGGTCTCTCTCTGGTCTCTCTCTCTGGTCCCTCTCTCTGTTCTCTCTCTCTGGTCTCTCTCTGGTCTCCCTCTGTTCCCTCTCTCTGGTCTCTATCTGGTATCTATCTCTGGTCTCTCTCTCTGTTCTTCTTTCTAAATAAAATAAAAAATTCACCATGGCAGGCTATTTAATTTGACTATTTAGGCTAAGAGGGATTTTTTTTGGCAAGGCAAGTTTATGTGTATAGCACAGTTCATACACAAGACAACTCAAAGTG